GAGCCTGTGGTGCTGTTGGGAGCAGGGGAATTAACTTGGCCCACATCTCCAGCAATAGTGAATCTGAGGAACTGGAGGAATGAAAGGAACAACAGGTGCCATGGGACTGAGATGTTTATTGCCACTGTGACACCTCCCAGTAGGGACCAACCCAGTCTCACACTGAAATTCGGCAGGAGTGAGCTCACAGACTCTGAGAGCTGCCCCAGTATTAAGTTAACCCTGGTGTTTTGAGTCTGATGTATCTGACAAGTGAGGGACAGATTTCAACTTTATTCATTAGCTTTTAAGATAAAATCTGGGACAGAAAATGGCATGGACAATGCTTTTGAGAAAGAAGCATGGAAGGCTCATCCAGTTGCCTAGGCTCTAAATTAATTCAGACAGTTAACAGACATGGGGTCAGATGCTGAAGTGCTCAACACCTACCATGAGTTTTCCAAACAGCTCGTGTCAGCTCCCTCAGAGAACAGTGTGTTCAGCAGGTGTGGAGCGCTCTGGTTCCTGACAGGGAAAGCAAGGCAACCCAGACTAGCAGCAACAGACAGGTTTATGAAGGGCTTTGAAATGTCCCTTCTCACAGAGATACTTCTCTTATTTGAAGATGACTGATTTTTGAGATGCATTGTCCAGAGCAGGGTCAGGAAGCAAGAATTCTCCTACCCCTTGCAGGACAGATGTGGGACTGCTATGATGGGGAACACTTTTGCTAAATGCCTTGATGAAAAAGAATTACCTCCTGCATTTGGAAGGAAGTAGGAAAACACTTTTCCATACAGTGGCATCTAACCAGGGAACAACTACATAGGAACCACCTCTATTGGAAGACCAATACTTTTCCACAAGACTAACAAGTCCCATATATTGGCATGGCTTGGAGAAGAAACCTTGCCCTAACCTCATGAAAAGCAGAGATAAAGAGCAGGGAGGACAAACTGGAGACCCAGGGACAGGCAGGCACCGTGCCTGGATCTAAACTCCCTGTTGCTCTGACTGAGAATGGCATTTCAGTTTGGTCCAGTACATATAAACACTGAGCTCAGCTGAGAAGTCTGGTCCTGCAGCCAGAATGTGGAGGGGAAGCCTACTGTGAGCCCAGTATGAGAAGCAGACCTGCAACAGCCTAGAGCTGGCAGTCTGCAGAGTCCAGGGTACACTGTGTAGAAACTGGACTCTTGCCCTTTTCACCTCATGGCCACCCTAAGCACAGTATTTTTCTTAATGTAATCTCTCAGATTTTATGGGTCCTTGTCAGCATTTCTGTGGAACAGCAGAGGACATCCCTGCTGCTGGGAAGAGCCCCCACCTCTCTCCACTCATTGCAAGGTGGACTTATCAGGTGTGTTAGGCTCCTATAATGTGGTGGTGGCGATATCCTCCCTGAACAAAATCACTAGTTACCTGCTTTCAACATAGTAAATGTGCTTCTACTTGCCCTCCCCTAGCAGGCCTCCACACAACTCCTGCCGACAGCTATGGAAACATTCCCATGGATTACCACGGATGTTGGAGGAGGGCCTTATATAGTGAGACTTCTCCACCTCCCCTTTGCCCTAAGCCCTTCACAGAAGTACTTTATTGTTTTATGACAGCGCAGTAACACTTGACATAAATCTCTAAGCACAGCTAACAATGTCAATATTGTGTAAATACCTACAGTAGAGACCTGTATTTTATTATGTTTTCGCCCTCTTTTACCTGTTATCACCCAGGGTTAACTCTGTGCTAGATGCACGTGTATTTCACAAGGAATCTGCCAGTTTTATAGACCGCCACAGCTTATGTCTCTGAACACTGAGATCCCAGCTCTGGTTCTTTCACAAACTGCAGCTTTCATTGGACTCAACAGAGCTTGGATCTGCTTAAAGGATTGATCGCATTGTCTGTTAAATCAGAGCCAAGTGCTCCTCAGAAGTGCAGAGTCCAACCCAGAGCAGGACATTTTGCAATATGTACACAACAAACAATATTCACCAGTGTCACAGGCAACTGTGTGCCAATGTCTGATGACAGAATGGGGCTGTTTTCCATCCTATCCTTACTCCCATGAGAGTCTGTACCCCCTGCTCTTAGAAATCAATGGGATCACTTACAGGTGAAGGTACAAGTCAGTGGAGAGACATTCCTCATGTTTCATAACTTAGTTGCTGCACTTCAGGTATTTGCCTGCAGTGTCAGTCAGAAATGAGATTAATTCATAATTTTTACTGCTAGGAAAGCACTTTGGACTGAAATGCTCCATGCACACTGATTACATCTATTACTTTCTTACATGGATTCAGTAATTTGCACTTTATTTTTAAGCAGTACCTAACTTTACTAACAGTTCCTTCTTAAGTCACTCACTTCTAAATACATAATATTGTACCTGCATGCTAAATACCTCTGAACTTTCAAGTCAATGAAAGTTCAGCCCTTAACACAAGCTCTTATCTGACTTCTCTTGCTTTTCAGATGAGCCTTACAACCTCTTTTTTATTATCTAAATGAATGCTAATGCTTCAAACTCAATTATAGAAAATCCAAAGTCACTTACTATAAACAAGGGACTGACTTTTTAGCATGTTTACAGCCTTGATGCCAAGTTTTATACATATCTACACTTAAAATGGATGGAATTTACTCCTGCTTACCCTGTAGACTTTGTCTGGTTTTAATTGTGACACTTGATTATCTGAGATGCTTTTCACCACCTTCTCATACTGGTAATACTCAGGCCTCTAGATGGGACCACTGTTTTGGAGAGTGTTTAGTTAAACAAGAACTCTTTTAACAAGGCAGTCCAGAGCTATGTACACACACTCCCAGAATATCTTCACTTGCCCTCAGCGTGCTGTCACTGAAAAAGTATGGTAAGCCTCAGACCTGGAAGGTCCCTCTCAGTCCCTAAACAAAGAAGAAGGATGCTAGCTCCTTGACTTGGGTAATTCTATTACTGTACTGTAATCAGGATTTTATCACACCTGGATACAGGCATGATGTTATGGAAAAGGTTAAAAAAAAAAAAGATTTGTTTACTTAAGCCTAGAGCAAAGTTCTGGTCAAGGAGCTGGTACTATTTCATTTATTTTAGACAGTGTCCTCAGGACTTCATAAACCTGCAGACACTGTCACTTATTCCTAAAAGAAGAGCTGCATTCCAGTTCCACCACCTTTTAGAAAACCAGTCAACTTCATGTATTAAACCAAATACTATTAATTTTGGTCTAAGAGCTTGAAGGGTAGCTTTTAAAAAATGAACTGCCCTGACCTTTCAGAGAAGAGCTGGAGCTGCAATTGGCATGCTCTTCCCAGGGCTCCCTAGTCCCCATGGTCTCTGCTCTGTATGGATGCTTTTTCCCACCACCTCTTACAGGGTGAAGTGAGGAGGGAAGGTGGCAGTGAAAGGGGAAGGAGATGTCATAATAGAATTTGCTCACCTTGTAAAGCAAATAAGGAGGAAGAGAAGACCTTGCACATGGTTTTCTTGTGCAGCTTGTGTGATCTTCGTCAAACATTAACTCCCTGCTTGTAGCTGATTTCATCACAGGGATGAAGTCCAAAGGTTCCTGCAGGAGAGAGGATTGACATTCCTGATGGACCCCTGGTCTTTCTGACGAGGGGCAGGAGGACAGTGAGGGAGGGGATATACCCTCCTCTTTGAAAGCTGCTGGAGCATAGGGCTGGGTGTGGATTTCTCTGGGGGCTCTCAGGCAGGGGGTTTAGGCCTGTGAGCTCCACCATGGCTCGGTGCTGCAATCCTTAGTCACCAAATTCATGGCTTCAGGGAGCTGAAGCAACTGAGAACAGCAGGAATCATGGCTGCTCCTACATTCATTGGGGGGAGAACCCTTACGATACGGGCAAAATCCTGCCCTTACAGGCCCCTAGTGGTCCCTTCAGTCCAGCTGGGAGATGCCTCCCTTACTTAGGATTTAAGTAAGGATTGGACCCTTCTGGCAGAGGTCCATGTGACAGCCATGCAGTGGGGATCTGCCACCTGCATACCTCCCAGGAGCTCTGTATCCAAAGGTGCCTGAAAGCCACAGCTCCCAGTAAGCTCCCCTGGGAGCTTTTGAGGGGGTCAGCACCATTAAAAATCCAGGAATTTGTGCCTTTCCAAAAACACTTAACAAATTTAACTGGGATCCAAACCCACAGAGCCCAATACAGACATCAACAGTAATTCTAGAGACCTGGTTGAGACCCAGGAACAGTGAGTATCATAATTGTCTACATTTGGAAGACTTTCACGGGCAGGTACAGCACCCACCAGAAGGCAAATTAAAAAGGACGAGTAACTTTTTTTTAGTGTTTATTGAGAGTTGCCTTTATACACGAGGGACTGGTGCTCTGATGCTGTCACAAGTGAACCCAAATAAACCCTGCTCAAGTGTCAACAAGCAATTCAACTCAGTGAATTTATAACATTACTACACATCAATAATAAATTAAGACTATTGCCTAAAAGTTGCAGATAATTTAAAAAAATCTTTGTCAAAAGTAAAAAACCCCAAAACAACAATGCAAACACAAGAACAAGGGAACACACAATAACAATGTTGCAAATAAATTAACAGAGTAGCACACACACATAATGGTTTTCAAAAATCTCAGAGTGCACTGCCAGCAATGCTAACACTCACTAAAAATGCTGCAGGTGAGCTGGTGCTCTGGCAGGAAGGAAAGCCCAGACTGCCAGGGACTGCATCAGCCACTGCGCTCTGCTGCTCATGCCTGGCTTTCCCTGGCTTTTAACTGCCTCGACTGAACTAAAGTTGATTTGGAAGCTGCCTTTATCACTTAATACCCATCAAACACACATTTTGCTCATGACTTACTTTTGCTTAGCTCAAGTATAGCAGGAACTGGTATAAGCTAAGTTGGTATCACAGGTATTGATGCCATTAAAAATCAGCCTGAAAGCACACTTTAGTTTAAGCAAAATCGACTTGGTAAACAAGTGCATAAGCAAAACTAAACCAAATCCTTTTTCCACCAAAACAATGCTATGTATTTAAGGATTTACACTGGTTTAACATGTCAATTAGACAGGAATAAATAAATAATTGAGCCACAGACACTTGTGCACACAGACAAAATCTACTACACTTTGGTCCTAGACAGCTGATAGCTCTCCAGGCCTGGATACCTCTGATGCTGACCACAAGTGGCACCTTTGCAATTTCAATTAATGACCACTCTAACTAGCACTTTAAGATATGAATCAGGTCAGCATGGGCACACCACGGTTTTCAAGTAAAGAAGGACTTTGCACATTATCATCCAGGCTGTCTCCTCACTGTACTGCTAAAATGCAGCGACAACACTGCCATTGTCAAATGGGATTCGGGCTATTGGCATCAAATGTGGACTTGTAAGATCACAGTCAGCATGGACATGTGCCCCAGGCTGACACATGCTACATACTTTAGCAAATAATGCTAAAATTTAAACAGATTAACCCTCTCTCTAAGGTAAGGCTGATCAAACCCTGACTGGGTTAGCCTTCAGGGAACCAGGGTGCATTAAAATCGAGTTTTGAGGAAATGCCTTCACTCCCACAGCCCTAGATCCAGCTGTGCATGTGAGTAGGGAGTGCCATATGGGAGTCCTTCGCCATGTGGTGTGGACTAGCACGTGACCTGACCCTATTTTAATTCCCAGTACTTGCCACTATTACATATGCGCCTCTTCCGAAGGTCTCGCATAAGCACAACTGCATTTCTGGCTGAGAAGCCCAGGCAGTCTCAAAAATATAGATAATAAAAACCAACACCATCTCCATGCTATCCTCTCTCACACTGCCCTCTCAAAGCATAGATAGTAAACAAATTTTATGGTTACCATTCCTAGCAAGATGGAAACTGTCACGAGCAAGGGTTTCAAGCTCCAATGCCAAACACACTGCATCATGGCAGAGCATTTCTAACAAAATTATTCACTTTTGAAAATTTAAGGCACCAAAAATGAGCAAACGTGAGGAGTTCCCATGCAGCTTGGTGTCTTCAGAGCTGGTGTATGCAGCCTGTAGAGCTCATTTCATGAGGGCAGAACAACCAAACTGAATTACTCAGCTGCTCCTGCAAAAGAGCAGGCAAAGCCATGGGAGAGATTCAGTTTAAGCCTACAAGTTAATTGAACAGCAGATGCAATCAGGAAATCCAAAACAGGAAGATAGAGGCTAATATACAGTACTGTAAGGCACTCCTACTGGGAAGGGAAAATTGAAAGGAAAATTACGAAGGAGAGAATGATTGGACTCAACTGGTTCAAAAACAACACGATGAGCTATGAAGCTCCAAGTCTGGCTGTAAACTCAGCACTGGGAGTAGAGACAGGGACAGAGACAGTAAGAGAGGAGAGACTGGCTTGCAGCTGAGCAGCAGAAAAAAAAAAAGTGAGAAGATTATGATGATTATTTAATTTCTTTTATACAGATCCACAGTAAGCTGCAATCCAGGCAGTGACTTTGGGAAGCCTGCTAAACTTGGTTGCTACAGGGAAAAAGCAAAATTCAACTGTGCAGCTTCCCCATTTCATTGTAAACAGATATCCTCTGCTTTTTTGAAAAAATCATTCAGGGCATTATCATCAATCCCTTATAATACATCATACACACCATCCTGATTACTAGAGAAGCCTTGACAAGAGGAGCTCTAGAAGTGCCCTGATGATTCGCTCCTAACAGGGCCATCAGAGCCTGTGGAGTGCTGTGAAAAACTTGAGTTCCTCACCAAAAAGTACCTTTCCTCACAACTGCCAATTCCTATTATCCCAGCAGTGAGCCCTATTCGTATGTGCCAGCCAGGATATTTTGTCACATCACAAACCCATCACTTTCCACAACCTAAGAAAAAAAAAGGCAAGAGAAAGATTTCTACACAAGAAATACAAGTTTCTCTTTTTATAGGTTGATAATATAAAAAAGCTGGAGTTTACATACCCTTCTTCCCATTAAAGAAAAGGTAGATGGTCAGGGTAAAGAGGAAAAGAAACTTGAATAAGGATCTCTATAGTGTCCTAGATTAAAATAATCTTAGACTAACAAATATAAGTACCTGTAGAGTGTGAAGCTGTAGTCCACTGCAGTGAAGCATCCTATTTCTACACTGATTACAAGTTTTATACAAAGCAAAAGCAGTAACTGGATTGCAGATCAATTCCTCCTCGGTCAGCTATGAAAGCATCTTCTCTTTGAAGGAGACAAACGGCACATTTTATTCTTGACTCACAATGAAATGGTATTGTTCAAATTTATTTCATGCATGGGTAGGACAATACTAGAAGTACCAATACATAATTTAACTGGGGTGGGGGGGCAAGAGAGTAGTGCAATCTACAAAGACCCCAAGAACTTTTCCAGCTGATGCTCATCCAGAAGTCTGCAGAGCAGAGCCACGTGCAGGCTGTGGGCTGCAGGGTGGGTAGAGTAGCAGTGGGGACCAGCACGCAGCACTGTTAGTACAGCAGAGACAACCATGCACAGGTACAGCATCGTCTGAAACCCAAACCATCTACAGAACCCCAGGCTGAGTGTCCTGCTTGCAGATGGCTCTTCCAAGAAAACGTCCCTTTTAAAGCCGGGTCTTGAGAGTTAATAATGTGAGCAGTAATTTCAATTTATTCTTTTGCCTTGCAGTCCTGAAAAATTAATAGGGCTTCTTCCTACTGCATTGGCACCTTCTGAGGGCAGGATGAAGCCTTCCATTATGCTTACAAAAAGCAGGGACAAAAGACTTTGTCTTGTCCATTTATATAGAATAACATTTTTTGGATAGGAGCTGGGCATCCCTGAGAGGACAGCATCTTCCATATTATGGTCTGCTCCTATAGCTACCATGAAGCCATATTATTTTTCCAAAGTAGAAATGAATGTGTATTCAGGAACCAGCTGGTTTACAACAACATTGGATTTTAAAGCAATTAATCTGAGCTGTACTGTACAGTATCCTTTTACACAGTGCTCTGGGCACTGACAGCATATTGTAACAACATGCTTTTGCTCTTTATCATTAGTAATGGCAGTGGTTTCAGGTTCATGACTAATTCTAGCAGTTTTGCCAACATCAAACTTTTTTTTTTATTCTCTGTAACTCTCTGTTAGCAAAGAAACTGTTCTGTAATACCTGTACAAACCCAGAGCAACACCAATGCCATCTATGTTTTTATTCCAGAATTCAGTTCCAATATCTAACCATGCACACAACTGGTACTTTGGGGATCAGGACATCTGTCAAAGTAACTAATAGTTTGCAATGTCTGAACCTTGATTCCTTGACTCGATATGGTTTTTGACAGTGCACACAAGCAGCCTTCTCTAAACTGAGCTGGACATGAACCAGCAATGTAAGGTATCTTAAATACCAGAGCACGATGATGATATGAAAAACATTTTCATTTTTTCTTTAACCACCTAACATTATGTCCACAGATAATTCAAAAGAGTACCTGCCAGCTTCTGACAGTTTCAGAGCTACTGGCTTTGCCACAGGACTAGTTGTAGTGACACATGCTGAGAAACATGGGAGCGTACTGTTTATTCAGCCAGTACCAGTGCAGTTCCTGTTTGCATGACTAATTCCACAATACTTCCCCAGTGTTTGCATTTCTGAACACACAGGGAATTCTTCAAGTGGGAATGGATTTGCAAGGAACATTACACCTTTAAAGGTGATAGCCAAAAGCAACTCATTTCACATAAGGAACAGTGAGCCCAGACGAGATACCACTGTGTACGGGAAGTATTAATTTTAGTGACAAAGGTGCATGATTCACCAGGTTTATTAAACATGGGAATCCTTACAGTACTTTGCCAAAACACAGAAAACCCCTCACTTCCTTCCAAAGAATCCCACTGAGAGAAGGACTTCTGGAAAAGAAAGGCACTGGTTGTCTAATGTATACAAGATATAAACATGCTTCTATATATATAGTAGTTGCACTCAATCTGAGAAAGCTCAGATTCAGCTACTTTTTCTTTGACTGGAGGCTGGAAAAGGTAACCACTTACAGTCCAGTACAAGGCAACTCACTGTAGCATTTTACTTTTTAACGTAAGTACGATGTACCCTGTTCTTTTATTTAAAATACTTCAGCGATTAGTGAGATGCTTCGATGATCAAGACTGCTTTCTGCCTTGAATACAACAGTCTGAAGATTATAAAGGAAGCAAAGATCAGTATTTCACACTTTCACAAACCTGTGTGAGAGGAGAGGAAAAATACATGCAACTGGCTTTTTTCATCTGAAACTGTATTTGCTTTCTGTATATAGATGTGTGTGTGTGTATATATATGTGACTGCTTTCATATGTATATAATACACACATCACTGCAGGGTGTGGAAAAAGAGTTAAGAACGTGGACTGGAGGGAGGACAATCTCTAACTGCTCACTGGAGGTGAACTCACAATGAATTAAACATAATGCCAGTGATATGACACACATCTCCCCAGTTAAATCCATCATGTACTTCCCTTTCACAATAGAATTCACTGTGGTTAATACTTCCTGTGTTCCAGGTGTGTGGAGTAGAATCATACCTCAAGGAACTTCGCTCTCCACCACTGAAGTCATTACAGAAGCATAAAATGCCTTGAAGCTCAAAGAGAATGCAGGACATAAGTTGCATATGAAAACAGCAAAGTAGTGTTTCACAACTTTGGAGGAATTTTCTAACTACGATGGGCAAGACGACTTTCCTGACTATCAGTTTATCAGGTTCAGGTTAGAAAAACATTTAAAATAAACTTCATGAAATAAAAAGAAAACCAATGTGGGCACTTAAAATGCCTTAAGTGTGAAACTAGAAGAAGGTCAGAGCCAACATCATGTTACTGGAGATGAGGACATGGCCTTCCACAGATTAAGAATAACAAGTGTAAAACTGCACAGACTTCAGTGACTGAGCTTAACCAATATAGCCAGTCTGAACAAAAGCGTAGGAAGTCCCCTGCTTATTTGAATATGAAATAGTTCACTGGGGTGGTTATGAATATATAAACATAAATTAAGGAATTCTGCGTCTTATGTTTGTAAGCACCTCCAATAAGGTTTGATGGGAGATCCTTTTCTTTCCTTGGCAAGCAGATCCTTTAAAATGTAAATGCACTGGCCTTTCAAAATAGTTCTCTGAAAACATGAGGAAATGGAACCACATGTCTGTATCAGGAGGAGACAGTGGATTTAAAGTAATTCCTGCTCTACTGGGTTCTGTGAAACATCCCATCAGACCCTCTGCCAAGGCTACTAATAAATAAATAATACACATAAATAAGTTGATGATTCAGCAATTCTAAATGAAAAACATAAAAAATAATGTGGTCATGGCGGCAAATATTTTCTGCCTTGAGAAAAACTCTTCTCCAGAGGTGGAAAAGAAAGTCAGGTGCTTAATTACCTAGACCTAAAGCATTTCAGGTAAACCACATTTTGTATGAGAGCTAGTGGCTGGACTTCAATGCAGTTTAGCCATTGGTATTTCAAAGCCGACAAGGCTTTATAGCCAATTTGGCAGCTGTTATTCACAGATGAAGAAGGTCAGATAATACTTTTCGAAAAAATTTCTGCCTGGCTAAGCTGAGAATTTGCTTAAGCTGGCAGCTGGGAAAGGGATTCTCTTCAGGTTGGTCCCAGCCTTAAGGAACTCATGTGTTCTGGTATGACAATTCAAACATGTTGCAAGACTCTTCAAAGTTCTCGTCCATATTCAGTTGCCTCCAGAAGGATTTCTGCTTCTTCTGCAATTCTTTACGCACACACCTGGGGCACGGTACAGCCTTCACTTTGCACTCAGAATGGAAGACAGCACCACAGCTTTCACACCTGCAAACACAAATTAGTGTCAAAATTGAATCACAAAATAGGACCACAGCATGCAATGGGCTTCATGTGGACTATAGGCAGCAGACATTCCTTGAAACCATTCTGGTAGCTCGAAGAGCATTATGTTTCAAAAGAGTGGCTTTGTAAAAGACAGTTTGTATGCCCACACCTCTGCTGGTGTAAAGCTACTCAGGACCACTAAAATAAGTTGACTTGAATCCATCTGCAGTTGCTGAGAATCTGTTCCAGCACTTCTGCTTCACGGATAGAAATTTTTAGAAGGATTAATACTTTTCTTCTTAGTAAAAGATGTATCACAGAATAGACATCAACTTTGTTTTATGCAAAACAAGCTTGTTGCTTTGGTTTGTAAATGAAGAGTTACAATATTATTTTCCAATAAGATATATTTCAGCATTCGCAGAAACAGATTCTGTGATTTGCAACAGCCACAATATGACATTTTCCTCATTGAAGTTCCAGTGGTCAGCTGTCCTGGAAAGAGTGAAAAACAGTCCACTTCAACAGCAGGAGAAGTTGTCATTTCACAAAGTAAAATTTGAAACAGAGGTAGGTGATATTGTCTGTTCTGTGTCCTGTGGAAGATTGGACTACATCAACACAATTATAGCTTCTGGCATTCAAAGATTCTGCTCTCAAATGTGACATTGAGACTTCAAACAAATCAGCTGCTCAAACAAGATGACTGGATTACTTTTGGGGCACTGTGAGGCAACGGACATTATGTCACAGCAGATCAAGCCCCGGTTCCAGATGGCTGTGGAGCAATGAAACATCTGGTGATCATGAACGGGTACAACTAAAGAGTTGGACATTCTCAGCCTTTAAATGCAAGTAACTATCTGTAGTAAGTTAAGTCACTGCAGCTTTGTAGTCGAAATAAAAACTAAAAGGATGACAGCGTCAGAGGTAAAAAGTCAAAGATTCCAGTTGGATAATCAAATAATAAAAGCAACAAAACATCAAACTTTAGAGCAATCCTGAAATACAAATGAGGGGGGGTCATCCTGGTGATTCTGTGGGACATCTTGCAATGCCCTGCACTTTTCCTTCTCACAGCTATTGTAGTCAAATTACTATATGAGAATCCAAATGTCCATTGTTATAACCTTAGTGGGGTTTTTGGTTTGCTTGCTTTAAACTTATTTCTCACAGAAATAAGGTTCTTGTCTTCAAGATTGTGAAGAAAAATTGAAAACGTGAAGAAAAATTGAAAACGTGAAGAAAAATTGAAAACATGAAGAAAAATTGAAAACATGAAGAAACAAACCCCAAATACTGAGAAGCCATGAGGCAAACTGCAGTACTTGGCATGTGGTCCGGCAATACTGAGATAAGTCCGTGAGCTAACACAACCCCTTAGCTGTATTGGCTGTGTTTGCATCTCACCTGGAACTTTCTAAAACTGTTCCTGATCTGGCTGCACTTGAAGTTTTATGCATAAGTCCAAACATGGCCTAAATTTTAGTAACTGCAGAGCTTTGAGAAGGCTATGCAGAGATTTAGAGAGGTACATTTCTAGCTAGCATAAACTGATAAAACTCAAATAACAAGCAAGAAAAGGAAGGTGAAAGAGGCTAATGCATCTATTAGCTTCCATGCTCTTGTGCAGTAAAACTTGACTGTCACATTTCTAAGTACAGTTATGGAGCCTAAATCTGGTTTTGAATCAAGAAACTAGTTTACACAGAGATATTTACAATTTTTGTGCTCAGAGAGTGTGTGTTATGGCCCTGATCCACTGAAGCACATAAACACATGCATAGGACTCATATCCCAGTGATTTCCTTGGGATTACTGATCTGCCTCCAACAAAGCATTTGCCTATGTGCTTTGCTGGTTTGGGATCCACAGGAACATAAATGGATGAGGAAGAGACAGAGGACAGCAGTGTCTTTAAAACTTAACACCACTCCGACCTGACACTAATGGTGATTTTATCAAGCTAATTCTCCCTTGTTAGTCAGCAATTTACAGTGCCCTGGAAGTTGCTAGAGGGTAATGATTGATGAGGAGTGTAATTTTGTGCTCTTGCATTGCCACTCCCCGTGCTAGCCCAATATTTCTCCACAGCACACATGGAAGTGACAAAACCTATCAGAAATTGCTGCTGAAATGGATGGAGCAGAATGAGAGGAGCCAGCATACCTGCTCTCTCAAGTCAAAGGCCATCAACAGAGCAAACAAAGACCGATGGTGTTTAAATTAATATGAATTCGTTTTTCAGAAATGAGCTCAGTGGAAAAATTAACAAACTTCTTTCACATCCCTCAGAATCAAAAGAGAGAAAAAAAATGTATGAACTGTTATTTATCAGAGCTGGTGCAATAGCTGAGGCTCTGACCAGGACCCCACATGGCCAGGCACTCAGTAGAGGCAGCACAAACAGCCAGCCCTGGATCTCACAGTACTGGCAGCCACTGTTGCCATCATCACTCCATTCTGGTGCCCCCACCCCGACTGCTGCTCTGAAGAACTATTTTCTGCCTTCTCTGGTGAAGGTTGATGTACTCCCAGCCCCAACCAAGGTGTGCAGATAACAACAAAGCAGCAGACTGGAGGAAAGGTGCTCTGAGTTGGAAAACAAAGTTGTCTCTCGCTCTCCATAGGGACACATAGAGAGCATACCTGCATCAGCACGCCTGTATCCCCCCTTCACTGCCAAAGGAAGTGAGTCTCCAGGGGAGGGGGGTAATGCTGACCTTGCTCTGCCTTTGTGCAAATGGCAAGCTACTCCCTTTAGGTGATGGAGCTATACTACCCCAAGCCATCTACAGCTTTGCTTTTCATCGTATCAAATACAGTCAGTCTTAATGGCCCTGGAATGTCAACTGGCTGACCATTTCTAATCTCACTGCAGGAAATTCTCCAGTGATATCAAAACCCCTATCAACTTTATATTCCTTCTTAGAATATTACAAACAGAGTGCTTCTTAGTCTCCACATTGAGATTCACAGGGGTTTTTTACTGTTGTTTTCAAGCCTCAGTATTCCAAAATTATTTTATTTCTCTGGAGAAATAAAATATATTTTGTAGCCTATAAAAGGCTCACTTAATAGTTCACTACACTTACTTATCTTTCCCTTAACCCTTGTTGTTGTCATAGGTAATTCACAGTTCAGGTATTATTTCTGACTCCTGACTTCTTCTTTGTCTAGAGGCCAAAAAGTCCCTACATCTTTTGTGAGAATTCTATACACCTCTGATAATAAGCTGATGAGCCCGTAGCCATTCAGGCCTTTCATGTTTCCTTCTTTAATGAATGATATTGTGATACTGCACATTAATAGCATCTTCCTATTTTTCAAACAGTATTTGAAGAATTAGTGAACATTGCACGTTGTTTTCATACAGACTTGAGTCTTCTAAGAAGGTAGCTGAAACAGATTCCTCTCTATTTTGGTGTTTTCTTTTTTTTTTTTTTTCTCTTTCCTGACCTAACTCAATTTCTGTTGAGACTTATGTTTTAAGGATGTTCTACTTGCTTGAACACCAGAGTAACAAAAATGCAGAGAATTATTCAATCCTCTAAATAATTTCTATTACACTGGAAAGCGTAAGAGAAAGGGCAAAGCTGTCCACAGCCAGCCAGGCATTATAATGCTCTTATTATTATCATTACTAGTTACAAAAGAAAAGCCTTTCTCCATTAAAAGCATATAATCATTCCTTGTATGCTGAGGAAGTGCCGATGTTAGTATCTTCCATCAAGTCTGGGCATTTGAAATATATACATAACAATATTTTGTAAACTGAATTCTGGCATGTTCTTTTCATGCCTTCCATGTATGTTTCACAGGATTATGGCTCAAGTAATTCTAGATGCTGCACAACCAATTGATCATACTCATATTTCTCCTCTGTACTGTACCACCATGTAAGTGCCCATGGGCAGGATCAGGTGCCCAAAGAGAGGGGTGCAACACAAAGAAGCTTCAAAGACCTTTCACCTTTCACCAAAGCAGAGATGATCAACAGATGGCCCAGGATGTCATCTGAAAGACAGGATTTTTGTCTTCTAGGAACGTTACCTGTTGACAGACTGACCAGTGTGACTGTGTTTGGATGAAGCTACTGAGACTAACAAGGTTTATTAGGACACCTTCGGTACCATGCACATGGGCTGTACCTGTCTGGCTTCCAAACACCAATTAGGGAATCAAAGCAGCTCATAGTTATGCTGCTCATTCCTGAAATGAACAAACAGTGAATGGCAAATACAGCACCATTCCTACCTCACAAATGAGAAGCAAGAGGTGAACTGGCTTGCTCAAGGTCAGGCACAAGCTCTTAGCAGAGCTGAGAAGGGCAAAGAGCTCCTCTGTCTCACTGCAGCGCCATATTCACCCACCACCCTTTCTCTTGTAATTTTATATATTAACTTTCATTTTTTCATTTAAAAAACCCACTTGCTTTGTGCCAGACTTTGCACACATTTGGTCAAGCAAGTAATCCCTTGAAATTAATTTCAGTAATCAAATCCCTTCACTGACTAGAACTCTCTAGTGTTTTCTTTCCTTCCATGCAGAGTAAAAGCAAGATAAAATGGTGTTGTTCATTCATTTTCCTTAGAGGATGCTAAACGTTCATCAGGCATCCAAAATACTGAAATACCTCTAACTTGGCTATTAAAAAAACCCCAAAAGAGCAAGCCACAGTAGCTGAAGTAAGCCTTGCCTAGGGATTCCAGCGTGATCACCATCCCACACTATGCACGTGTCCCTGTCTGCAAGTATTTCTGAATTGCTCAGCTGTGAATATCACAGACGTGCCCTTCAAAACTCTGAGACTTTAGCAGAGCACAAAGAAAAGGAAAATGGACTATCCTGTGTTCACTTACAACACAAAAAAAAGCCCCAAAGGCAATCAATGCCTGACACACACGTGCACAGTATTATTCCAGTTGCCTAGGAACCAATGCAAGGAGCCTGCCTAGGGAGGGACGCCCACATAGTAAATGAATGGAAGCAAGTTGGCA